GGTGCCCAGGAGCAGGGGAGACCCCTGGGAGCGTGGGGCTGTGGAGGGCACCAGGAGCGAGGGAGGCCCTCAGGAGTGTGGGGCTGCGGGGGGTCACCAGGAACAGGGGAGACCCCCAAGAGTGGGGCCGGGGGTGTGTGTGTTGCTCAGGAGCAGGGGACCCCCAGGAGTGTGATTTTGCATGGGACAGCCCTTGGAGCAGGGTGAAGGGTTCGTAGGGGGTTGTGGCCCGGTGTTCTCCCCTCTCAGCGGGGGCAGGCGGGCGGCAGGAGGGAGGAGAAGCCCAAGGGGTCGGTGCTCGAGTAGTCTGGGGTCTCCAAAACAAAGAGGGGGGGAACAGTGAGGGTAGGCACCCTGCTTCCCCCGATCCTGCAGGTGTGTGGCATGATGAGTTCCCCTGGCAGGGCCAGCAGCGCGTTTCCCCTGCACGTCCTGGTCTGGAATAATGACTACAGGCGGTTGGACGAGGAGCTGCAGGACAAGGTAACCGGGGTGCCCAGGGGATAGAGGGGCTGCTGTGGGGCTGGTGGCCCCAGAAGGGCTAGTGCCACGGTACAGGGCTTGGTGCCCCTCGCTTACTGCCTGTCTAGGGAGAAGTAACCTCGATGTACTGCCAGGTGTATTTGCCGGGCTTGTGGGATTGCTGCGCTTCTTTTTCTTTACCTATTTATTTGTGGTTGTGGGAGTGATGTAAGAAGGCGTAGGAATATACTTTTTGTTAGGTAAGATATTAAACGTTGACTTCTTATCTGTAAAGCTGCGCTCAGAGCATCTCCATGCAAATTGCAGAATAACTCTATAGATTTCTATAAAGTATTACGAGTCGTTGAAACAGATCAGGAAGAGCAGACAGGATAGACTCTATTTTTTTTTTTTTCTTGGGCCAGAAAAGCAATAAATGGTGCTTACCTTAATGGGAAGTCAACATACAGCAAAGGTGGCTGCTGCTGCCAAAGATAAAACCAGCCTCTAGCTTGCTGAGGACCAGCAGTTCTTACAGCTTCATTGCTGTCCAAGACTGTTGGGGCAGCGTTTTTATACTGGCTGGAATGTTTTCAGCATCTCTGGTAGAAAAAAAATGGATCATTGTTTCATGCTGTAGGGTAGAAAAATACAAAGCTGTTCCCTCTCTGGGACGGCGAAGCGAGAAATGGTAATGACGTAAGGAAATGGCCTGAAAAGCTGCAGCAGAGCTCGAGCAGCAAACATCCTTCTTGCTGAGGTGCTATGTAAAAGCTCTGACATTCGCTAGTGTGGAGTACAGTTTGCAAAAGCAGAGCATATTAATTACATTATACCTGACACCACAAGTATATGAGCCAAAGATCAGCTGTGCCACCTCCTGACTAGTGACTATCATCTGCAATTCTAACAGTACACCACAATTTACTAATGCTTGCTTAGAGCATGCTCCTGTCCTATTTTTAGGAGAATCTTTGGAATGCAGTTACTTTTTATCTAATTCATGTGATCTTATTCCTTAATAAAATCTTTAACCTTACTGGCACGTTGCTTCTGTGTATTTATATCTGTTTCAATAATGTTATCACCTGTGAAAGTTTGCCGTTGAATAAGGATTGTTCTGCTGCTTGTTACATCTGAGACTGCAGTTCACACCTGTGAAGTGCTGTTTCCCACCTCAAACACTTTACGCTGTAAGAAAATGAGCAACGTGTTAAGATGGAATATGTCTGTCTCTTACTTCCTTTACCTGCTTTTAAATAACTTCTTTTTTTGAAGTGTTCCAAAGATATGTTTCCTCCTGCTTCCTCGGGATAAGCTTCTTGCTGTCGGAGGGGTGCGTGAGGGAATCGAAAGACACTTGCCAGCTGCCCTTGGTATGGCAAATGCCGGATAGAACGTGTGGTTACCGGTTAACAGCAGCAAAGGCGATTTGGGGGGGATGCCTTAGAGTTCTTTACCTATCAATGCAGCAGGCATTAGAGCCGTAGGAAGCGGGGAAGCAAATTAATTAGTATTCCACCACAGAAGTGAAAAG